TCTCAGTACAGGGAAGACGGCTAGTGCTAGTTCCCCATCGGGAGGACGACCCCGGCTAGTCGCCGACCACACCCACAAAGAACCCTGCACAAAAACCAAAAAAAAATTGGACCCACGTAGACAAGGAGCGCGCGCCAATGGCCTCCGTGACACTCCCACCACCTCTGCACGCTGCAGCAGCAGGTGCGAGGTGGGCCGGCGCGGGAGTTTTAACGAGTTTCTCCCGGCCGGCCGCCTCCTGACACGCCCACGGACCGAGCCCAACGAAAAGTTCAGGCGCGCCGCACTGCTCTCGCCCCTGCTCGCCCCTGCTCGCCCCTGCTCGCCCCTGCTCGCCCCTGCTCGCCCCTGCTCGCCCCTGCTCGCCCCTGCTCGCCCCTGCTCGCACACTCTGAGAAAGATACGAGTCTATACATGTGAGAAGAGTGTATCTAACAGTAGTGCAATGTACGGCCATTCCATTCTGGTGATCAAAGGCACATTGGCTGGCCTCAACTTTATGATGCGAATTCCTCTCGCCCCCTCCCCCCCCCCCCCTTCTCTCCTTACATCCCTCCGTTCCCTCGCCTCCATGCTCCCCGCCTTCACGGGAAGCCTCCTCTCCGCCCAACCCACCTCTCCAGCTGCTCCCCTCATAGCTCACTCATTGCGCGGCTCCATTCTTGGCGCTCGCCTGCACACCCGCAGGTAGCGACAGCACGTTGAGCTGCTGCCCCGCGTCGACTGTGAGGAGCTGGCCCGTCACCTTTGCGTTGGAGGTGAGGAGCGGGACGATGGCCTCCGCCACGTCCGCAGGCCGGATCGTCTGCCTACGAGGAGAGACAGAGGGGATTTCTCTCACAGCCCTCTCATGTTCGTGTCATTTGTGCCGTGATGAGACGAGCGGGTGATCTTGTCGCGCATCGAGGCTGCATGCCCTAGTCTCCAAATCTCCTAGGCGAGTCCGCATCTAGCACTGTCTGCCGCATCGGAGCAAGCATGCGGAACTCGTCAAAGTAAGCGCCGAATCGCTCCTCGCCCATCCCCCGGCGCATCCACTCGCCCTCAATCACGCTGGGGCAAGGATATTGCGTTTGCACAGGACAACGTGCGTCGCTTTGCGGAGCTCCAGAGGGCGTCGCTCTCCGACATTGAGGCTGAAGTGAAGCCCGGCGTCTTTCTTCGGCCACAAGAACTTGCCGATGCGCAACGTGCTGTGCTATGTCCCTGGTGTGCGCTTGGCCTAATTAGCGAGCCCAACCCCGCCAGGGCTTTGACTCGTGTGCGCTTGGCCTAATTAGCGAGCCCCCGCCAGGGCTTTGACTCGAGTGGCCTCGCCTGCGCCTACCAGGCGGTAAGTTCCCGATGATTGCCTCGGCCCACATGAGCGTGCTCACCGCCAAGGTTGCCGGCTGCGACCGCGTGGTGGCGTGCACACCTCCGATGCCCGGCACGGGCGAGGTGCCGACACTGACTGTCGCCGCCATGCACATGGCGGGCGCTGACGAGATCTGGATCATGGGCGGGGTGCATGCCATCGGGGCGGCGGTGCACGGCACCGAACGGCTCGCGCCGGTCGACTTCGTTGTCGGCCCGGGCAACGCCTACGTGGCGGAGGCGAAGCGGCAGCTCTTTGGCAAGGTTGGGATCGATTTAATCGCCGGCCCGACGGAAACACTCCTGCTTTGCGACGACTCGGTGGACGCCGAGCTGTGTGCCACAGATTTGCTAGGCCAGGCGGAGCACGGGTACAATAGCCCGGCCGTCATGGTGACCACGAGCGAGCGGCTAGCGCACGCGACGTGCGCCGAGGTCGAGCGTCAGCTGCTCACGCTGCCGACAGCGGAGACGGCGAGTGCCTCGTGGCGCGACTACGGTGAGGTGATCGTGGTGGAGGACGACGCGCAGATGCTCGAGGTCGCCGAGCAGATCTGCTCCGAGCACGTGCAGGTAATGCACCGCGACTGGCGCTACTTCCTCGACAACATGCGAAATTACGGCGCGCTCTTCCTTGGGGAGGAGACCAACGTTTCCTATGGCGACAAGGTGATCGGGACCAACCACACGCTTCCCACCAACCACGCTGGCCGCTACACGGGAGGGTTGTGGGTCGGAAAGTTCATCAAGACGCACACCTACCAGTACATCACCGAGAAGGCCGCCTCCGTCGAGATTGGCGAGTACTGCTCCAGGCTTTGCGACTATGAGCACTTTGCAGGTCACGGCGAGCAGGCGAGGATCCGGGTGCGACGCTGGAAGAAGGAGTGACAGCGTGATAGAGATGTAGATGCAGATGCAGGTGTAGATCTAGAGATGTGCTGCAGCCTGCACCTGCAGTCGTGAACGACTGACGTGAGTTGAACGATTTTGATTTCGTGCGTGAAAGATTGATGATGACAGTAAAACACGCTCGGCACATGCAATTACCAATTTGCAAGATTCACACCCCAGCGCCGAGATAACCACACACACGCGTCACGCGCTGCGCCTAGCAATCGCGACCGCCTAGCTTCACTACGCCCACGGCCCTCTAAGCGTGTACGAGAGTACGTTAGTAAGCCGAAGAGGGGTGTATGCACAAGGCCTGCCGCATGGCCACAACCGCGTCATGAGCCCCGCTGCGGCACACCAAGCGCCTCCTTCCACGCCGCCGTGTTTCCACGCAGGCCCTCGACCGGGTACGCCTCTCTCCGCGGCCTCCCGGACGCGCAGTCCTTCCACGCCATCACCTCGAGCCCGGTCGTGTAGCTGGTCCGCTGCTCGACGCGCCGCTCGATGAGGTCGCGCTGGCCGAGCAGCTCGAGCATGTAGTGGACCTGGGCAGGGAGGGGAGGCGGCGATGAGGGCGGCCGCTGTGCCGAGAGCGGGCGAGAGCGGGCGAGAGTGGAGCAGAGGAGGGGCGGGTCGGGTGAGAGAAGCGCTCGAGGGGAGGCTGCAGGGAAGTGAGAGGCGGCAGCAGGGTGGGAGGCGGTGAAGAGGGGGGAGAGGCGGACCGCGTAATTTGCGACAGCTTGCTTGTTGAAGTAGAGGGCGTTGTACGCCGGCAGCACGAGCTGCAGGCCCACAGCCCAGAGCGGCACGACGTGATTGCCGAGCAGGAGCGCCTGGTAGAGCAGCACAGTCGCGACGAGGATGCCTACAGGACGGTACCGAGAAGGTTCGGGGAAGGCTCCTCGCGCGGTCGCGAAGGGGAGAGAGGCCGGGCGTGCCCGGCGCGCGCAGCCAGGTGTTGAGGTTGGCGTTCACCCGCTTCTCGGTCATCGGCGGGAGGCGGCCGAGTTTGACGAGGGCGAGCATGAGGTAGTCGACTGGAGGGGTCGAGGGTGGGGGCAAGGGAGTGAGGTGGGGGAGCGAGGTTGTGGTATCGCCGTGGAGGTGTCTCGAAGTGACTCGGGAGTGTCCACACACCTCCGCCCGGCAGCCCGCTGATGAAGAAGGCCTGCCAGTTGGCGAGCGGTCCCCACCGAAGTAGCTGGCCGGGCAGGCCGAGCGTCGGAATGAAGAGCCCGTGGTGGAAGTAGTCAGCGCCCGTGAGCGCAAAACCGCCGACCATGTGGTAGAGGTGAACCGAGTTGATGATGGTGAGCGGCCACGCGCTGGCGGAGCCAAAGAGGGAGGCGTCCGTGTAGACGCGCCCGTCGAGGGCCTGGCCGGGGGGGTCGGGGTCGGGGGGATGTGTGTTAGACATATCCGTCGGACTCGAGTGTCAGTGGAGCGTTTGGGCTAGAGCCCACTCAGGCAAGCCTGGACGGGATCGAGCAGCACTGCGCGCATAGACGTTAGGGCCGTGAGGCAAACCCATGCGTTGGCGATCGAGTGCACGAGGAACCAGCGAACCGCCGTCAGATCCTTGGAGGTGAGTTTTGGTGCGGCCGCTGCCACAAGAGGAACGATCAAGGCGCGGTCCGCCACAAAGAGGGCAAGCAAGACGAGCACGTTGTTGAGCAGGTGCTGTGCGATGTTCGTGCCAAGCTCCATGGCTTTGGCAGTGGAGGGCGACGACGGCGGCCTGCGCCCGAGCTTGAGGACCTTGCTTGGACTGATAGCGTTGTGACGCATTTCTGTTTTTTTTTTTGCTTAGCCTTCGATGTTTTTTTTTAGCTACCCGATGTATGAACAAACGCAAGGCGGACACACACTTCTGTTTTTTTCAGCTAGCGTCACTGTTTTTTTTTACGTAGCCTTCTTCATTTTTAAAACTGCCTTCGTTTTCTGATTTTTTTCGGCTCAGGCCTCAGCGAAGGGCCGAAGGACCCCTCATCCGGCGGCCCGCGAGCAGCTTTGGAGAGGGGTGTGTAAAATGTCTACACACAAAAACAACAGGGGCAAAAACACACTGATTATGTTTTGGGGCTGCCCGTACAGACCAGAGGGCGCCGCGGCGACACAAGGGCGAGGGGGCAGCCAAAGCGAGACGGTGGTGAGGCAGCCTAGAAGGACGAGTCCAGCGCGGGGACGGAGCCGGGCAGGTTGTGGCCCGTGATGAAGGAGATGATGCCAATCATGGCGAGGCGGCCGTTCTTGAGCTCCGCCTTGCGCTTGCGCGCCTTCTGCTCCGCCGAGAGGGCGCCTGCGGAGCGCGGGGCGGGTCGGCCGGCGAGCGCGGCGGCGGTCCGCCGGCGGGCAGGGGAGCGGGCCGGGAGAGGAGGAGGAGGAGGGGAGGGCGAGGCGGAGGGGAAGGGAGATGAGGAGGGGAGGGCGGGGAGGAGGGGAGGGCGAGGAGGAGGGGAGGGCGAGGAGGAGGGGAGGGCGGGAGGAAGGAGGCGAGTGGAAACAGGGCAGGGGTCGCGTCGAGGAGTCGTCGGGAGTGATCACTCCCTAGATGCATCTTCGCGCCTCTCGGCCGCCTCTCTCGGCTCGGCGCGCACCGGTGAAGTTGAGCGGATCCCAGAACTTGATCTTGGGGGCCCACAGGCCCTGGATGCCGTCAAAGGGCAGCTGCTCAATCTTGCCCGGCACGCCGCCGCGCATGTAGTGGGGCTTCTTCGCCTCCGTCGCCCACTCGAGCGCCAGGATGATGGAGAGGATCTGCAGCTTCCCCGCCTGCGGCACCGCGTCCCACGCCTGCAGGCGGGTCGAGGGGGAGGGGCGGTCAAGCGAGGGTGTAGAGGGGCGTGGGTTGCGGGGGCAGGCGGCGCGAGGCGACGCGAGGCTGCACGCGAAGAGGGAATGGCCGCGCGGCGTGTGCCGCCACCAGCGTTGGAGCGGGGCGGGCGACGCGGCGGCGGCGGCGGCGGCAGGGAAGGAGCGGCGGAGCGCGGCACGCGGAGGCGGCAGAGGGGCGCGAGGCGCCTGGTACGGGCCGTTGGCAGCCACAGACGCAAAGGTGACGCCCTTTGCGAGCTCGCCCGGGAAAGAGATTTTGGCGGCGCCCACCAGGTAGCCGACCGACGCAAGCTGCGCGCGGCGGGGGCGCGACGTCAGGCGCGGCCGCGCGCTGCTCTTGCTGCCGGGAGGCGTGCGGCGCAGTCTGCAGCGTCGCCCTGGTGCAGGGGCAGTGGCGTGCGGACGCACCATGGCGACGCGGCCGTGCTTCAGCTCGGACGCGCGGAACCACATGACCGCCTCGTCCGAGACTGCCTCGGAGATGCCCAGCGGGTCCCAGATCTGGCCGCCAGTCTCCTCGCCGACGCCCTCCCTGCGCAGAAGGCGGCAGAGGCTGAGCGGCTTGAGCCCCTGGCGGCGGAGCTCGCCGCGCGGCGGCGAGGCTGCAGAACAGTGCGCAAGGGCCGTCTGTCCAGCACGGCAGCGACGCAGCGGCGCGGCGGAGGAGGCTGCAGCGCACATCGAATCGACGAGCGCCATCTTTGCCGACGCAGCGGCGGGCGCGCGGGCGATCGGAGCGACCGGCGCGAGCAGGGCAGGCGCGGCGAGGGAGGAGAGCATCATGGCCATGGTTACTATGGACGGAAGAAAGGTTGTGAGGACGTGTGGGCTCAGCTGCTTCAGCGCGGACGAGCGCAGCGACCAAGAGAGCTCGCACTGCAAATGAGCAATCGATGCAAGAAAAACACGGACGAAGGTCCCGGGGTCAAACTCGAACTTTTTTCGCTATTCAGTCCTCCCGTCCCTCCCTGGGGTTGTCTGATTTCTTTCTTTCTTTCTTTAAACAACCCTAGTGAACACATATTGGACACACGTTGCACCACCCGTAACTAGATGAGTGAGAGCATATTCGACCCAATCGCATTGTATGACTAGACACAGGCCCGGAGCTCACCGCGAAGTGGGCGCGCGCAGTGCTCTCCTCCCTCGCCGCGCCTGCCCTGCTCGCGCCGGTCGCTCCGATCGCCCGCGCGCCCGCCGCTGCGTCGGCAAAGATGGCGCTCTCTGATGTGTGTCGTCGTGATTTCGTATCAAGAATACTCACTCACACTAAAAGGAACCGAGTGATTTTCTTGGAGCACTTGGAGTTTGGTTCCTTCTTTCTTAGGGGGAGCGGGTAGATATGTCGTTTTTCCTCAGCTGGATAGGGGCCGCGGCGCGGGCTGCTGGATATGCTGCTGCCGATCGGCATGCGGAGCCAGCACATGCCGACGCAACTCAGTCCTTGGACGCTCGGTCTCGCACGCGCACTCGAGCCGCATGGCAAGGTATCATCCATCGCGATGTGAAGCCCTCAAAGCTCATGGTCACGCAGGCGGTGACGTTGTGCTTGTTGATTATGGGTTAGGTTTGGCTGCGCTTCGGGAACCACGGCTTCGTCGACCTACGCGAATCGCATCCGCGCGCCCACATGCACTTCTTCGTTTTGAATTCGTCGCTCGAATCGTCTCTGGCCCAGGTCTGGCAGTAGGCATCCTGATGCTCGCAGCACTTGTCGTAGCACTCATATCCGCCACGAAGGGTGCCACCGCACGCGTACTTCTCGTACTTGACACGTAGCGGGTGCCAGGGCTGTAGCTTCAAGGCCTCATTCCCTTCACAAGGAAAAAGCCGCCATTTTCTCCGATACAAAGCCCGCCCCTGCAACGACAAAGGGGAAGGCCGGGAAGCTCGTGTGAGAAAGACGGGTGAGTGCGCCGCGGGGTCCCGGGCATGCTTGTACGCAGACCTGGCCGACGCCCCGTAGAATGGGCCCATGTGGGGGACGCTAAAGTCCAGAGCATCGCAGTTCTTGCAGGCGTCACACGCTCCCTTGAATTGCGGCATTTTGCAGGCGGTATGCCACGGCTCAGCTGGGTTCGCATAGTTCATGATGTTGCAGTACCGTGTCCCGTACTCGGTCTCCTTGACTGCGCCGTTCCTGGCCGAGCGGTCGCTGGCCTCGTAGCCCGCGCACGTGGCGCAGCAATAGCCCCTCAGGTGCTCGGGGATGTGCGGGCAGTAGCCGGCGGCGACTACTTCCGCACAGCTTGTGACGCCGCTAACGCCAAGAGAGGCTGCGAGTTGAGGAACTGCTGCGTCGTCGTCAACGCACGTGTGTGAGGCAAACCCACCCGCGATGGGCAGGCTCGTGGCGAGCGCGATGAGCTGTAGGCGCATACTTGAGCTAGGAAAATTGTCGCCGAAAGCGCCCGCCGGTCTACCTAGGTACAGGAAAGAATTTTACGACCAAAGCCTCTCGCACACGCACGATTCACACGACAGACAAGGCGCAGGCGAGAATTTTACAACAAAACTCCCCCGCACGACACTGGGCACGGGAAGACTGGCGCGCAGGAGAGAAAAAAGTACATTCGTGATTAGAGCGGCGACCGTAAAATACAACGGACATCCCAAGCTAGGGCTGGGTCGAGGACAGACACGTCCCCACCTTTGCAGGATTTTGCAAAAGCGAGGGGGGAGGGCGCATCGCCGCGCGGAGAGGGCTGGGCACAGGGCACAGGGAGGGGATCTCTCTCGCATAGGATATGCACTCGGCGGCACGAGGGCAAGGCTGGGCGTCCTATGTTTGTGCTCCCCCCCCGACCCCTCGCTCTCGGGCACTAACCATCTGACCACTCATCGACGGGGCTACCGTGTCCGTTTATTCATTTAGTGTCTGTTTCTTTTTTCTTTTCAGATAAATCTGGCAGAGACACCCGTGTGATCCCGCACCCGGGCACACATTGACCACACACACATTGAACAAGGAAAGCACTGAACAAAGACAGCACTGAACAAAGACAGCACTGAACAAACAATCACGGGGAACCGGAGCTGCAGTCGGCGGGGCGCGCGACGCGCGGACGTCAGAGCTCTGTTAGAACTTGGCGATGACGCGCCAGATGCGTGTCCCCACGCTGAGCCTCGCCCAGTCCACCGCGGGCGGCGACCGCGCGACGCACAAGCCGTCGAGCCGCGCCCAAAAGTCGGAGCAGCCGCCGAGCTCTCCCGGGCAGGCCTTTCCACTAAGCACCGAGAAGCCAGTCAAGCCTTTGTCCACGGCATCCTTGCCCGTGTTCTTGTCGATTGCGTACGGGTTCGCGCCGTGCTTGAGCAAGAGCAAGGTGGCGTCGGCGCGCTGCAGGCCAGTGCTCCAGTGCAGCGGGCGGCTGTCGTGACAGTCCGTATTGGGGCTGTCTGCGCGAGAAGGGTCGTCGAGGAGATGCCGCTCCAGCGCCTTGGCGTCGCCCGCCACAATCGCAGCCAGCGCGGGGTATGCGGTGGCGAAGGCCTCGCCGCGCGCCGTCTTTTGCGTCGCAAACCACGCCGCCACGCGGCTCGAGGGCGGCTCCTGCTCCCGCTCCAACACTCGCGGCGTGGCCTCGTCGAGAAAATCCCTCAGCTCCTCGTGCTCCGCCGGGCCGTGGTAGCGTGCCGGCTTAGGGCGGTGCTGCGCCAGGAAGACCGCATGCGTGATGAGGCCGGCGAGGGCGGTGAGGAGGATGGCGCACGCGCGGTCGAGGTGCGGGTCTCGGAAGAGGAGATGGTCGACAAACACCAGGGCGGCGCCGGGCGCCTCGACGCGGCGGAGAAAGTCGACGTTGCGCCAGTTGTCGTTGACGAGGTAGCGGCCGGTGAGCATCACGCACACGGCCCAGGTCTGGTAGTGTCTGACTCCCAAGCCGGGCTGGCCCGGTGCGTTCAGGTAATCGTAGATGAGGCGGACGGTGACGAGCGAATAGACGTGCTTGGCGCCGTCCAGGACGACGGAGCGCTGGCCCTCGCTCGCGCAGTACTCCTTGCCGATTGTCAACGCAACGAGCTTGCTCTGGACCTTTGCGAACAGGCCAAAGGCGTGGATAGCCCAGAGCCAGCCAAAGAGCAAGGTGTCGAGCCGCGCCTCGCCGGCGCGCGCCTGGAACTGCAGCGCGATCAGAGCGCCGGCATGGTGCATGTTGAGCAGGATCTGCCATAGGGAGGCAGGAGCGAGAGGGCATGGCTCTGCCATAGGGAGGCAGGAGCGATGTGAGGGCATGGCTCTTGTGGGCGTAGAGATACGGGGCCGGTGACGCACCCAGCTCCCAACTCCACAGCCGTGACCGTAGCCAAAGTCCCAAAGGAAGAGAGCGAGGACGGCTCGGATAGCGAAACTCGAAGTGGGTGCGGTGTCCGACGCAAAGGGCTGACCCGGCTCGAGAAGCCGCATCAGCGCAAAGGTCAAGACGCCGTGTGCGGACATCAGGTGGTGCAAGGCGCTCTCGAGCGTCTGCTTGGCGGTTGCGCTGCGCTTGTAAAGCAGCTTGTCGACGAGCCCTGAGCTGACGCACACAAAGATCGCGTAGAATGCGGCCTCGGTGAGTCGCGAAGTGTCCATGCTGAGCCGCACGCGTGAAGGCAATGGGAGAGGGCAGCGACCTGGTTTGGGCGGGGAGGCCGTGCGCCGCCGATCGATGGACGCGTCCTGATCAGGTCCTGATCCAGGCCAGCCGAAGGCGAGATACACGGCGAGGAGGGCGGAGTTACGCCAAAAGGTGAGATAAGCCGCGAGTGCAATATCCTCTCATCGGACACTTTCGCGACACAAGCCGCTCGATGAGCAGTCGACGAGTCGAGCACTGCGCGCGCCCACTTCGCGGTGAGCTCCGGGCCTGTGTTAGGGTGCCCACAGGACCCAAAAAAAGAAAAGAAAAAAGAAATGGGGCACCCCCGATCGCAGCACTTCGTGTTGGAGAGTCGAGATATTGAGAGTGTGACTAGGAGGGAGGGGCGCTGGGGATTCTCAAAGGTATACCCTTGGAAGGGCGAACAGGTGAGACGTCTCTGTCTCACGGGTGTTTCGTCCCTGTCTCAACGCTGTGTCACAAATGCGTCTCAGTAATGTCTCACATACTCTCACCGATCTCTGTGTTGTCTCAGCCTGGTCACAGCAACAGTCTCACTTTGTCTCAAGGATGTCACACACACGGCACAGTCACCTTCAGAGACGTGTTTGAGACACCAGTGAGACAAATGTTCACCCCTGCTGTGTGACAATGTCGTCTCTACTACGTCTCCTCCTTTCATCTCAGAGCGTCTCACACTCGTCTCACGGTGAACAAGCGGCAATCCTCGTCTCACTCGGTCTCACAACGGCATAGTTGCTGCAACTCGTCTCACTTGCTTTCTGAGACTGTGCTGAGCCACAATGAGACACGCCCTGCCATTTTCCCACGGCCACGCGCCGCCCCACTGTTGCCGCCGCCGGCCATGTCGTCGCTCATTGCCACTCGTGCCACTACCGCCGTCCCTCTCTGCCGCCACGCTCCCCGTCGCCATCCATGCCACCGCCCAGGCCCCGGCCGCCGCGGCAGTCTGAGGGGGGGGATGCGTGTGCTAAGTACCCCCCCATCGAGCTCTGAGGGCGTAGCCGCGACGAACCGAGGGCGAGAGCGTAGTGCTGGGCACTAACCTGAACCGCCCTGCCCGCGAGAGCAACCGGCTACGCGCTCATATATCGCGCTCCCTAGCCCAAACGGCGATTATGTTGGGATCGTCCGACTACCGACACGCCTCACCTCGGAGCGGTCGGTGCAAAGTACTCATCGAGCCGAGGGCGTAGCCGCGACAAGCAGAGGGCGAGAGCGTAGTGCTGGCCACTAACCTGAACCGCCCTGCCCGCGAGAGCAACCGGCTACGCGCTCATATATCGCGCTCCCTAGCCCAAACGGCGATTATGTTGGGATCGTCCGACTACCGACACGCCTCACCTCGGAGCGGTCGGTGCAAAGTACTCATCGAGCCGAGGGCGTAGCCGCGACAAGCAGAGGGCGAGAGCGTAGTGCTGGCCACTAGCCCGAACCGCCCTGCCCACGAGAGCAACCGGCTACGCGCCGTTTGCGTTTGAGAGCACGATGACCCGACAACGTCTCACGTTCGGGCCACCGGGGGCTGCCGCACTAGTGGGGCGATGCGTGCTTTAAGTACCCATAAAGCTGAGGGCGTAGCCGCGACGAACAGAGGGCGAGAGCGTAGTGCTGGGCACTAACCCGAACCGCCCTGCCCGCGAGAGCAACCGGCTACGCGCCGTTTGCGTCTGAGAGCGATAGAGCAACCGGCGGCTACGCGCCGTTTGAGAGCCAGAGAGCGCGATTATGCTTGGGGTTCGTCTACACCCACCGAGACCCGCCAGGCCGCACCTCAGACACAGCCTGAGTTGAGTCTCCCCAATCGCCACTGTCTCACAATTACGTCTCAGGTTGGCTCAGCATGGTCTCTAACGGACCTGAGACGACTCAATCAAGCAGCGGCTTGTGGCGTCTCAATCCCGCCCTGCGCCACGTCTCATTGTGGCTCAGCACTGTCTCAGACGGAAGTGAGACGACTCATTTTGCTCGGAACTGTGACGTCTCAGCCCAGCCGTGAGACTGAGTGATACGCGGCCGAAAGAGACGAATGTGAGACGCATCTGAGACGCACCTGCGACACTGACACTCAGCACTGTGACAGCAGAGAGACGCTTGGAGAGACGCAGAGAGACGGAAAAAATCATGCAGCAAACATGCAAGTGAGACAGGGACGAAACACCCGTGAGACAGAGACGTCTCACCAAAATTTCCGTTCTTGGAATGGCCGGATCCAGCCTTAAAAGTACGAGATCGCGCGCGCTTCGCGCGCTGCACCGCCTATTCTCCGCGGCTGAGTGACGCCGCGTGCCGTGTGCCAGCAGAGTTGGGCGCGCGCGGCGCGCCGGCGCCCGCGAGGGAAGGCGCGGGTGCAGCGGCCGCCGGCGGCGGCCGTACCGCCCGCCAGCCGGCGCAGCAGCAGCCAGCGCAGCGGCCGCCGGCGCAGCAGCCAGAGCAGCCGGTGCGCGCCTTGCGAGGCGAGTACTGCCGTCCGGCAGCCTTGAGGCGGCCGGGCGGCAGTACTCGTTCGAACTTTGCGAGCCGTGCGCGCGCCGAGGCGCCCGCGGCGCGCGCCCGCCCGGCTGCCAGTAGGAGGCGGCGCAATATGGCCTATAGTACAGCCCTTAGGAGGAGGAAGAGGCTGGCTGGCAGTGCTGTATGCCGCCGAGGGGCAGTTTTGGGGTGCTGTCCCCATCCCATGGGGCTGCAGAAGGCGTCCGCAACCGGGACAACCCGCCCCCCCAGCCGAGGCCGGTCGAAGCCCACTTGGTCACAGCCATGAGGAGTCCTCTTGGTGCTCCTGGCGGCCGTTGGAATGGCGAGCGCGCGCCGATGGGGGGGGGGGGTCTTGCTTGCTCCACACCGAGCGCCATCGGTCCGGACCGGCGTGACCACCGAGGGGTGGCTTGCACAAGGTCTGAGCCGCGGGCGCTCGGCGCCAAGTGCAGTGTCACGCTCGCACGCGAAGGGGACACAATGGGAAACCCTCGTATCCTATGTACTCAGGCGCGAGACACACACATACTCGGTCCCCCAACGGAAGAGGCCTCGCTCCGGAACACTCCAACATCAGATTTGCCGCGTGCGTCCCTTTTTGAGACGGAAAGCTATTTTCTTTTGGGTCCTGTGGGCACCCTACCTGTGTCTAGTCATACAATGCGATTGGGTCGAATATGCTCTCACTCATCTAGTTACGGGTGGTGCAACGTGTGTCCAATATGTGTTCACTAGGGTTGTTTAAAGAAAGAAAGAAAGAAATCAGACAACCCCAGGGAGGGACGGGAGGACTGAATAGCGAAAAAAGTTCGATTTTGACCCCGGGACCTTGATCCTTGTTTTTCTTGCATCGATTGCTCATTTGCAGTGCGAGCTCTCTTGGTCGCTGCGCTCGTCCGCGCTGAAGCAGCTGAGCCCACACGTCCTCACAACCTTTCTTCCGTCCATAGTAACCATGGCCATGATGCTCTCCTCCCTCGCCGCGCCTGCCCTGCTCGCGCCGGTCGCTCCGATCGCCCGCGCGCCCGCCGCTGCGTCGGCAGTGTGAGTGTTAGAGTTGTTTGGTATTGCTAAAATCTCTCTCTAAGATTGGCGCTGCCACGGCCCGAGACCCCGCTGCCATCCCGATCATCGCCTGTGCTGCATATCTCTCCGACCGCGAAGCCATGGAGGCAAGAAAAAATCAGCTGCCAAGTGAGCAAGGGATTGTATGGCAGGCAGCGACGGTGTCGCAGAACGAGGGAGCAAGGGATTTTCTTTCTTTCTTTCTCGGTGTTGTGCACCTCTGATAGTGCTAGCACGCGCCAGTTCGCACCTGTGTCGTCGAGCCTGTCTGCTGTGAGACAGAGTTGTTTTGTTTAAATTCTTTCTTGGGTATAGGCTATAGCAATTCAGCGATAGGAGCAAAAAGGACGGCCTCGGCCCCTCGCGTGCGCCACCCGCCATGGGACGGGGTGCAGAGGAGTGGCTGCAGAGACCCCGCACTCCAAGAACAAGTGCTCCAAGCAAGTATACTTCGGATCTATTACTGCTCATACACAACAGACGGCGGACTAGGTCTCTCAGGCCTCAGCGTACTAGGTGGCCTCTGTGATAGACCAGGCCTCAGCGTACTAGCTGCTGGGATCATTCCCAAACGGGCATCGCCATGCCCTCCTGTAGCACCCTCTCGGAGGAGTCGGCGCCTAGCATGAGCTGCTCCAGCTGCCGCGTGAGCTCCTCCACCCCATCGCCCCCATCGCCCGTAAGGGCGCCGTCACCGCCGCCGCCGCTGCCGCCGGCCCGAGCAGATCCGGTGGTGGCAGTCTGCGCCGTCACGGTGGGGGCGGGCACGCCCCGGTAGGCGCCCAGCTGGACGCACAAGCGCAGCAGGTGGCCCCAATGCGGGTCCGTCGCGAGGACGTGCGGGTTGCCGACCACGATCATCAGGCAGCAAGCGCGGGTCGTCGCGACGTTGAAGCGCTTCGGGTTCTGCAGGAAACCGAGGTTGTGCGCGACGTCGAAGCCAATCTGGTCGGCGGAGGAGCGCACCGTCGAGAGGATGATCACCTTGCGCTCTTGGCCCTGAAAGAGCTCGGTCGAGCCCACCTTGATGCCGCCCTTGCCGACAGGCAGCTTGGCGACGGCCAAGAGTCTGGAGAGCTTCTGCGCCTGCCTGTTGTACGGCGTGATGACGCCAATGTCCGCAGGCGCGAGTGGCCGGCCGCGCACGCGCAGCAGCGCCTGCACGTACCGCATCACCTGCTGGCACTCGTGGCTGTTGAACCAGCTGGGCGAGGAGCCCTCGCGCTCGTCCTTCCCGACCACGCCGTCGAAGATGAGCGGAAGGCCCTTCGTGTCGAGAGGCTCCTCCGAGTACTCGCGGCCGCAGCAGTGGCGCTGCAGCTCGGCGTCCGCGCAGGGGAGCAGCTCGCCCTCGTAGAAGAGCTCGTTCGGAAGCCGCAACAGCACCTCGTGCGAGCGGTAGTTTTGCACCAGCTTCGTGAGCACCAGCGGGTTGTAGTCGCCGCTATCGCTGCGGCCGTACAGCGGGCGCGCCATCATTCGCTCGAGGAGCGAGGTCGCAAGTCCGAGCTCTTGCGCCCGAGTGTCGT